GGCAGGGGGGGAGGGAGCTCTCCCCTGCCGGGGGGGTGGGGCGGGGGCTGTGGGGTTGGGCCCCCCGGTGGATGGGGGGTGGGGGGCACAGCGTGGCCCCCACCTCTGGCGCTCCCAGCGTGGCAAGCATACCGACCTTTGCTTTCCTTCTCGTGGGTTTCTGGGCTGGAGACGGTGGCTTCGGCCAGGCAGCTCCTCTCGTCCGGCAGCGCGGACTTGGGCTCGGGGCTCCCCACTTGAGCGGCTTTGGCGGAGTTCTCCGGCTGGTGGTGGTGCTGGTGGCCGCCGCCGCCGCCGCCGCTGCTGTTGCCGGGGGCGTTGGCGCCGGCGTTGACGCCGGGGTTCTCATTCATTTTCTTCTCCATCGGGAGTTGCGGGGCGACCTGCGGTTTGGAAGCGCCGCGCGGGTTTAACTGCAGCATGAGAGTGGAACTGGTTTCAGGGCTGTCACTGTACTCTTGGGCTTTTCCACTGGCGTAGGTCTGGCTCAGCCTGAAATACCCTGGGACGGGGACCTCGGGGTTTTCGAGGGGACACGAGTCAGAGACTAACCTCTGGTAGGAAGGAACGTCGGAAGAGGAGCCCAGCTTGGACCTCTTGTCCGAGTACATGCAGCAATTGGTTTCTTCCTTAATATTGGTCGCAAAGGAACAAGTGGGCACCTGCTGCGTAACAGGTTGCTCTATTCGGCACGGCCTGCTGGGGTCGGTCCAGTTGTCTACTGGAGGGATGTACGAATGCACGTTCATGCCCATGTTTTGATGATTGACTTCCCTTTTGGCCAGAGACGGTAGAAGTCCACAGGTTTGCATCCCATAAGTGCCAATGTCTGTGCTCGGTGGCACGTACATGCTGGCGCTGTTGGAGTAAAAGCTATCGCTCCTGCAGGCACTGATCAAGGAATCGACTAGGAACGTGTTGGCGGCAGGAGAGCTGTTGGGAAAAGACATTTTGGGGAGGAATTGGAAGAAGAGAGAGGGTGTCCTTTGTAGGCTGACATCTCTACGAAAACATTCCCGGTGTAATTGTGGATGCCTCCGCACAACCACATGACAGCCGAGCCAATGAGATTTGAAAACGGCCTGCGAGCCGCGACCTCCCCGCCGATCACGTGCTCCCCGGGACACGCCGAGCTGCGGCGCAAAGGTGGACAACAGCGACACCTAGGACGCCCACGCGGAAGTGCACGCGCTCTGCCTACCCGCCGCGGCCCCTGCCGCCTTTCTTCTCCTCCTCTTCCTCTCTGCCTCTCTTCCTCTCTCTCTGTACCCCCACCCCTCTTTCTGGGGGGGTGTATTTGCAAAAGTCAACCCTGGCGCACTGCGCTGATTTAAAGCAAGGAAATGCATTGAACTGACCTAATTTCTCCCCCCCCCCAATTCCTTTTTATAACAACAACAGAAGCGAGTCAGTCAGTGTCTGAGCTCAGCCTGAATCTAAAGCAGTTTCTGTTGTTTTGTTCCAAAAATATAAGACAGCTCCTTCAGTTATAAGCCTGGCTAGGCTACATAGAGGGTAAAAGGGGGGTGGGGAGAGGACGGTACCAAAACATGCAGTCAAATAATGCAAAATGTAGAGTACTGGCCATCATCATGGTCAGTTTCTGTCTCCAGATGCATGATGGCCCCACTTCCATTAACTGGCCTCAACTGTGCCCTCAGAAGAACTGTTCCTCGATCTCAGACCACACACACTTTTGTCTTTCTCTTCAGAATTAAACTATTCGGGGGGGGGGGGGACCCAACCAGTAACATCTCCCTAACAAAAGAAAGACATGGAGAGCTGGTTGGGGACAGAGAGTATCTGCAGGATGGATGTTCCCTAGAAATGTCATTATTTCGGAAGAATACAAGGGTGGGAAATATTTTCCTTTTATGGTTTTCTAAAAGCATTGCCTTCTGACAAGTATAAGATCCAAAAGGTAACAGAATTTATTAATACAGATTAAGAGGAATCAGGGCGATCAATACAATTCTCATCTACATGCTCGGGCCACTTGGTAATTTTCTTGCTTCTGAAGCTTTTTCAAGAGTTATTCCCTCTGTAGCCACACACAAGAAAGATATTTTATTAACAAATCAATCTAGACTTTGTAAAGGATAAGATTAATAGTTAAGATTTCGCCTAATAGTGTTCATGTTATGAATTATTGAAAATTATACTATTGATTTTTCCTCTTCTCTGCTAACCAAGAAGGTCAACTTTTGTTTTAATACAAATTGTCAGATATAAAAGCTGGACTTTTACGATAAGGGGTTTCTTTTCTTTTTCTTTTTTTTAGTTTTCTTAGGTCATGGGGGAAAAAAAAGAAAAAGGAATCACAGACCTCTCTTTTAATACACATATGAACAAAATCACATTGCCCAGTACAACAGAACAAAAAAAGCTATGATGTTAAAAGGCATTCTACAATAATTTTATCTTATACTGATGAACTGTTTAAACACCAATGCATGAGCTCAGCTAAGACAAACAAAAATTATACTTTTCTTGGCCTTACATTATACATTTCAAAAATGACAAGGATGCACAAATTGCCCAACATAAAAATGGAACAGCATCACTGTCTATCGATTTGAAAATCTAAAAGTTTTTTTAAAATGTACTTTTTCAGTATAGATTAGAATAGAGTTTTGTCTTTCTTTCATATGAAATAAGGTTAAGGAACGCATGATTGTGACATTACTAGGTTTTTCATTAAAAAATTGAATATGCTTTTCTCCGTCCCCTAGCCCTCTCACCTCCTCTTAAAAATGTATCTGATATGCATAGTCCGGCATACCACATTCATCCTTCACTTTTGAAGAATAAATATGGTGCTGCTTCATGGTCATATCTGGGGCCATCCGCTCCTCCTTGTTAATTGAATAGGTCCCCTCTCCTTCTCCTCCTTCCTTTTCAAGGAAAACTTCAGCCAAGCCAAATCTCAGATCTTTTAAAGGCCGGTTCAAACCCTCTTGGCATCCTATTGTTGCCAAAGAGCTCCCTCGCCAGCCTACTCTCCTCGAAATCATTTCCTATCCCTGGGATTGCAGGGGACGGTTTCCTTTCCTCTCTCTCTTTTCTCTCTCTCCTTTTAAAAAAAGATTCCCGCGGCCTTTTTCTGCACACAACCCCCGGCTTAAAAAATCTCGCTGTGACAATGAGACAGACCTTTCAGAAGTTGATCGCAGCTGTTCAAATACAACATCAATGCCAGGTTAAGAGGCGGTGCTTTTTACAGCTTTTGTCTCCCGGCTCTATTGCGACCCGAGAGTTGAAGTCTTTGTACCTTCCTAACAGTTTCCCCACCCAACACCGTCCGGATTTTGCGAAGCACTTTCCCATCCTGGGCGACTCCTGGCCGGTGTCCTGGGCGGAGGTGGGGAGGAGGACTCAGAGAGCAGGCTCCTCACCGGAGTCTGGTGGCCGCCTAGGGCGGAGGCGAGCACAGAGGGACCCCGCTCGCTCATCTCCAACTGGAGATCATTATCAGAGCCATTGCTAAGCCTTTGGCCGGGCTGGGGAGCAGACAAAAGTGGAGGTCACGATGCTCTCTCTTTGGGGGCCGGGGTTTTATGGGCTTCCCAGCAATTTCTCTCTCCTCTTCTCCTCTCAAAACAAGACGCCAGACGGCCCGCCGAGTTTAAAGCAACCCAATACCTCGTTTCCCCCTTCCCTTGCCTGCACTTTTAAGACTTTGCCGTGAAATCTAATCAGGGATTTTATTCCCATCAAACGGCCATTCGTACCCCGCCGTCATTTGAAGAAGGGCCCTAGCAATAGCCCAGTGGGAGCATTCTCCGAGGTTTATTTTATTTTATTTTATTTTATCTTATTTTAACTATTCTATTTTATTGGTGTTTGTCGCCCAGTTGTAACGTTAAAACAATAATCTGGGACTCGCTCTGCTTTCTATTTCGAGAGACTCAAGGAGTTGACTTGCTTTCCATTTTGCGTTTTTCTGGATTTGGGATGGCAGTTATTACCGCCACAAAATCTAACCCCCAATTATCTGGGTCTAGATAAAGGTGACTCAGGGCAATGCCCGGCTGCTCCTCAGGAAGCCCTGCTCACACCCAATGGCTCCTTTAAAGAACCTGCTTTCAGCTGAGCAAGTGAGGTGATTTGAAAAGAAGAGGTGGGGATGAAAATCGAAATGTAACATTTGTGTAACACTTCCAGAGGGCGAATAAGCATCTCTTTAAGAAGCTGATTCCTTAGACTTTGTGTACTTAATGTCACTCCAGTTTTAAATCATATTAAGGTGGAACTGTAGTAATTAACATGAATAAATAAATCAATATTGTGCCATAAATGAGATATACAATCTGCATTACAGCAAAGGGTTTCCTGTTGACTGTTCCATATTTTTTCTTCGAAAGGAGTGAAACCCTCAGAAGCTCCATTTATAAGTCGATGACTATTTGCAGTAAAATATGTGTTGATGCTACTTTTTTCTGTCTGAATAAATAATAGAACGTAAAAGCTGAGAGGAATGTCATTGCTTAGCATTTTAATTTTAATCCTTCAGATTTATTCCATGTGTTGCATCTGGGTAGGGTTTCCCCACTCTCACTCCCCCCCCCACATTTTTGCTGCTTTTTCTTTTATTTGCTCTCTTTATTAAAGCGAAAGGGAGAATCCTCTTAATCGAGAGACATTACACCGTGAAAACGCAAAGCTGAACTTTTGATCATTAAATATCATGAAAAGACTGGAATTTATCAGAAATAGAGGAACCTCGGAAAAGCTGTAATACAGATGGACTTTTTCTGTTCATTTAATTTTTTCCTGTAGGAGGAATTTATAAACAGATCTATTTGCTTACATTTCTCCCCGGTGTAGAGCTGAGTGCATCACAAGGTTTTCCTTTTAATTAAGACCCGTTAACGTACTGCCAAACAGCACCAAAGTGCCCCACTCTTAATAATATGAGAATTAGATTATTCCATTTTCATTGTTCATTGCAGCCTATGCAACAGCCAAAATATTTCTATTCAAAGAGGGGAAGAGATGTTTTAATATCGCGCAAAGCCAAAATTCAGAGTCAAAATTCTGGACCATATTTGGACAGCTCCCCAATTCTTCATTATTTTTGTTACACAAATAAATGTTATAGAAGGAAGGTGCATATGATGAACAAAACCCCGTCAGAGAAATCCATGTTTTGCCTTTGTTTCACAACAGAGGAGTTTCAGACACGGAAGCAGAGTTCCGTTTCAGATGCTAGAAGCATTTCATCAGGGAAGGGGTCTGGCCAGGCGGATTCGCTTATAGCCGTGTACATATAGTCTTTCTGTTCACCAGAAGACCTGGAAAAAACAGGACATAAAGCCACTGGAGTGGGCGGGTGAGCCTTATGTTTAATTTCAAGCCAGTGTAGCTTTTCAAGGAAATATTCATCATAATTTAAACGCTGATAGACAGACAGAGAGTAAGATAGATGCAAGGCTTTCACTGGCTGAGTTTAGAAATCATTAACAAGAACTACATTAAAAGAAATAATGAAATAGTAATCTAGTAACTCCACCCAGAACCAGAATCACTCATGTCTTAAAGTCCCAAAAAGGACAAAGCAAATATACATATTTAACAATTTTAAATAGGCAGAGGATAGATAGATAGATAGATAGATAGATAGATAGATAGATAGATAGATAGATATAAATGATAGATAATTATATAACATGAAATATCCTTCAATCACAATATTACATTTTTTAAAACATGATAAAAATGGTAGAAAAAAGGATTCAGGGGTGGAATTTAACAGTCTCTTTTCACCTCCATGCAATGGTATACAGCATGTGCACTAATTGAATGGGGGAACAAATCAAAGTGGGGGGAAGGCAACAAAACGTCTTGACATTGTCTGTTCTCAGAATATTATACTGTTTTGTTTATTTTTTATTCAAACAGGTAAATAATCATTTCCCAGATTTCCAATTCTTTCACGAATATTTTTTAAAATTTATTTTGAGTAGAATTCATTATTTTAGGTAACTAGAATAATAATGAGCTTCCTGTTAAATTTTTTAAAAAATATTAAAGATCTACCCAGTAAATAGAATCCCGCATCTATTTCTCAAAGACGACTTTGTCTGGTTTGTTATCTCCCATTTTGCCTCTCCCTCAGTAGTTGGGACCTACGTAGAGGAAGAAAGGAGAGGGAATGGCGTCCTTTGCTGCTATAGTTCTTTTAAAAGTGCATCTTTGGAGAGAATTAAGATTGGCCAAATCAATGGACAACCTCAGAGGGAAATTTCTCTTTCTATTGAGAAAAAAAGAGATGCATTTTAGATATCTTCTGAAAAGTAGTTGTGACTGTTCTTCCTGCTGAGAATGAAATTTAGATCCTCAGTAATGAGCCGTTCATTTAAGAAAAATCTACCTTCTCTCTGGTAAATAATGCTCTTTTTTTCCCTGCGAGAAGAGACTCTCCAAATGTTAGCCAACCATTTCTCCATTAATTAAGATTACATATTTTCCAAAACTGTTCGATCTGCCTACATTTGTCTTCTCATTGAAAGTCAGTTCAGGATTCAGATTACCCCCTATCATAAACTATATTACACACACACACACATGTATTTGTGTATGTGTATCCTATGTGTCATACTATGTACAATATGTGTACAATATGACATATTGTGTCATATTGTAGATAATGACACAAAATCCATTTTTAATTAAATATAGTTTGTATTATATCTGTGAATTACTTCTTTAATAAATCTTGATTCTGCTGTGTTTTCTCACTTCCAGTTGCTTATATATCTTATTAGTGGCATTATTATTGTGGGGAAATACCCGAATATCAGGACAAATATACATTCTGGAATATGAGTGCGCCCTCACGTGGAATTTACTAGAATAGCATATGGTGTATTTTGTTTTTAATTCCTGTGTTTTCTTTTTCTGACCATTATGTTCTCTTTCTTTGTTATAGGGGAATATAAGGGTAAATATAAACTTGTACAAGATATTTGGAATTATTATTTTAAATGCTTATGGTATTTATTAAGAAATACATGCAATACTGATGGATTGAATCTATCATTGGGCAGATATCTTAACAGAGAATTCATCTCTATGTAAAAATGGTTAGACATTGAATAAGGCTGATATATATTTCTCATAATGTAAAGATAATTTTCCCTCAAGTATCTTAAGATTATCTGTATTTCCTATGAAACATAGACTAGCATCTGCATTTCAAAGTGTCACTTTTTGGAGTGATCAATGTTCCACAGGAATCCAAGAATTCATTCTCATTTATTTTAAGAGAATCAAATCAATTTGCTTCTTCTTTTCTTTTAAACAATTTTTCATAACACATGCTTGATCTAACTAGAGAACTAGACTAAGAAGAATAATGCTTTTGCAATTAATATTTTACATGGAAAAAAACCCTAACAATAATATTTTCAAAAGGAATTATTTAAAAGACAACTGAAAAGGGATTTCTAATAAACAGACCGATGAAATATTCTGCACATTTCTTTCTAGATAAGTACAGGGAAGTGCTCTAAGTTTAAACTGATGGATTCACTGATGTGAATTGATATGCAGTATCTCTCTCTCTCTCTCTCTCTCTCTCTCTCTCTCTCTCTGCGTGTGTATGGGTGAGTGATGTATTTGCCAGTGGGAGAGAGAAAAAGAAGAGAGGAAAATGGGAAGTGAGAAATGGGGGGAAAGCCCAGGCGGGTGGGTGGTAGTTGAAAATAAGAGACAAAGCTTTAAGGCTTCTAATTATTCAGAAAGGTTAAAGGTGATGACCTTGACATCTTGGAAGTTCAAAGGCATATACTTATGTTTCTCTGGTTTTAATTGAAAAATTAAATTATTCTCCCTGTCTTCATACATTCTCCTAGTTTAAGGCATGCTTTGTGTGTTCCCTGGTATTTTATTCCTTCAATCTGGCCTTAATGGATACAAAGAAAATCCAAACCATTTCTATTCCCCCCCCCCTTTCCCTTTCCCTTTTCTTTCCCCTTTCCCTTTCCTTTTTCTTTCCCCTTTCCCTTTCCTTTCTTTAAAAAAGTCAAATTGTTTTCTCACTTGCCTCTTTTACTGCACTTGTGGAAATCTTTTTTTTTTTCCTGCCTACCACAAGGTGTACAATATAGCCTAATTAAGCTGTTACAGACCCTGAGTTTTTATGGTGTTGTCTAGACAGTTCAAGGTTTTGTAAACAGCTTAAACAGATCACAGCAACAAAGTGGAGAGAAGAGCCTCTCCCAAATTCTTCTTGGAAAAAAAATTAAGTGTTAGCAACTTAGTAGCAAAGAAGAATTCTCCTGTTGGTTTGTTTCTGCATATCAACAATATGGAAGAAATGCCTTTTAAAAATATTGCTCTCCTTAGCCCAATTCCACTCCACTAAATTCAAGTTTTGGAGCTGGAAGTTTCTAAGAGTGGAATGGTTCCAAGACCACGGCTGAGTTTCTCCAAACTTTACCACATAGTGAGATTTCTTTGTATGGATATACACCAGATGTCTAATCAGGGTATTTTTATGACCCTGTTTTTAGGGTTCTGGGATAAAATATTTGCAATGTTTACTGATGACAATGGGATGGACTTTTACACACGTTTAGCTACTCAGCCTTTAATCCTGATAAAGTTTCACATTAACAAACAGACAGATTCTCGGTGTAGAAAACATTCCCCTTTCTGAATTTGTCCCATTAAAAATATGAATCAATGGGGCCTTCTAGAAAGTATATAAGGCATCACTGCTTCATCAGACCACATGCATGATGATTCAATTTCATGTGCCCCAGAAAGGATGAGGTTGTGGTTCTTCAGAAATGGATAATTTGGCAGACAATGCAGGTGGAAGATACAACTTCAGCTTTACTAGCCACAGCTGAGGCACAAGAACAAGTCAGTGTCCCATGCTTTGATATGACAACAGACCTCCCAACCCTCTCTAACCAGCATGAGGTTAGGGATCCAGTGCACAGTATCCCCTTTACAACGATATGGGGTGCATGGGGAGAAGTGTGTTCCTGTCTCACAGCCCTGAGGAGAAGGAAAGAGTAATCTGGGTTGCTTACAGCGCTCATTTTTACATTGTCAGATTCACATGAGGACCATGGTTGCAGCCATGAAAAGGGGGTGAGAAAATAAAATAAATCAATGCTGTGGGTGATTTGGTTTTTGTTTTTGTTTTTTAAAGAAGAAAGACAACACAACAACTTTAGTATGGAGTGTTGGATTTACCCCATTTGCCTTTAGGAAGGTTCTGTTCCATCAATCCCATGAGATCACCAGGAGACAAAGAAGAAGTGTAGACCATTAAAAAAAAAAAAGCTTCTTATGTCCGCAGAGTGGATGTCATGTAAACCTCTGGATTTTTGTGCTCAAATGTCTGGTTGGATAATAAAGGGAGACCAGTCCTTCCTCCCCACTGTCCCCGCTTGTCCTCTCAAAACAAGGGGTTTCCTGTGAAATATTGCATATGGTCTTGGTTTAGTTTCTTTTCTTTCATCCTTCGATTCTGGAACCAAATTTTGACTTGTCGATCTGTGAGATTCAACATTCTGGACAACTGGAGTCTTTTCTCTTTGTTGATGTACACGTTGAAGAAAAATTCCCGTTCCAGGACTCTAATCTGGTACTTGGTATAAGGACACCTCTTTTTCCGTGATTTCTGGGAAAGCGCTGAAACGTTCAGAAAAAGAAGAAAAAGGAGGAATGGAAGTAACAGAAGTGGCCTCATTCCAAAATGCTCATGAACAGCTAGACATGAATATTCCCTGGAAAACTGACTCCTTCTCCCCTCCTCCTCCAACTTTCGGCCTCCCTCCAGTTAAGTTCGGTATAGTGGCTTGGAAAGGAAAGCTGGAGAGGCAAGGGAGAAAGAAAGGTCGCCTAAGGGCCTAGTGCTTTCTGAGGCTGAAGCCCCCTTGAACTCAATGGAAATCAGTCCCAGGTGAGGATATTTTGGCTTCTGCATTTCTGAAAGGAAAGTGATTTGAATGGGGTGAAACGAAGACCGGCTTGCCAGGGCTCCCGTTTCGTTACTCCTTCCTCTCTTCAGAAACAACCCTTCATCCCATCGGACAAACCCCCCGCTTAACAGCGACCGACTTCCTTTGTTTGCTTGAGTGCTTTTAAGGGACCAGAAATGTCTTCGCAAAGCTCGTTCCTCCCCAGTTTCTTCCCAGTTACAATTCTCCTCCAAGGAAAGGATCGAAGCCCACCTCCAAGAGCTTCCTTTCCCAAGCAGGCTTTATAAACCGAGAATATATAAAGGAGGCTTTTTAAGGTGCTTATAACACGGCACCTAAAAAAGCCCGGGGCTTGGCAAAGTGGTGGGTTCCCGTCTGCCTGCCGCCTCCTTCTCCCTCCGTCCACCTTTCTCGAGTTGGGATTCCCCCTTTTGAGAAAGGAGGAAGGTGAGGGCTCTAGAGGGCCGAGCCACCCTCCTCCTTACCTGCACTGGGGCTCTTCAGAGCGCGGGCCTCCCCCGCGGAGGAGTCCGCGTTGCTCTCGTTCCCCGCTTTCTTCTTCGGCCTGGGAAGGCGGGAGCTTG